AGAGAGAGAGAGAGAGAGAGAGAGAGAGAGAGAAAGAGAGAGAGAGAGAGAGAGAGAGAGAGAGAGAGAGAGAGACGCAGAGAGACGTCTAAGATCCCACACAAAAGCACATAAATAACACTATCCAATAACAACACTACACCACTCACCAGTGCTCGACCTTGTCTTTGCCCGCGGCCGACTCGACAACGACGACGATGACGACGACGATTTGAAGACACTGGGCGTGTGGAACCCCAAAGCCCCGCCCCCGTAGGGATCGTGACCCATGTAGGAAGGGTAGGTGGGCACTGGGTGCGCCGTGTGGGCGGAGCTATGGTGATGGGCGTGGCCTCCGTGGTGGCCGAGGAAGGACGGGATCCCGTCAGAGGTGGGACCTGAAGGTTCCACTTTGAGCGACGACGAAGATTTGTTGTAGTCTGAAGATGCCCCGAGAGAGCCGTAAGCGTCCGCGACGGGCGAGCCTAGAGCGCCAATTCCGCTGTTGTTGTTGCTGTTGCTGCTGTTGCTGCTGTTGACGTTGCTGTTGTTGTTGGTAGCGTTTGTGTTGCTGTTGAGACTGTTGGCGACGGCGGCTGAGGGGTTGGTGGAGGCGTTCCCGACGCCGGGATTGGTGACGTTGTTGACTCCTCCCACTTGCCCCCCTATGACAGCTGCCGCGCTGTTGTTGTTATTGTTGTTGGTATTAGCGTTACTGTTGTTATTATTGTTATTGTTGCTCTCGGGCGTGACGTCTTTGGGCGGGGTGGGCGGGAAAGAGAAGGACGATGACGTAACAATCGCTGATGACGTAGACGGGTGGACAGGAAGTGACGTATGTCCACCCATCTGATGTGACAAGGACTTTGTGGTGCCGAAAGGCCCGCCCATCCATCCTGAGTGAGCGTGCGGCACCATGGACTTTGTGGTGTCCGGTATCCACGGGTGGAGGGGGCTGTGGAAGTGAGGCCGGCACATCTGGGGGCTGCTGGACACTAGTCAGCCCAACACGTCATCGAGGTACATGGGGAGAGAGGGCAGAGGGAAAATACGGATTAGTCCAAAGTAAAGCATGTTTGCTTGTTTGTTGATCTGTGCAGGAGTGCTTTTCAAGCATGAAGTACCAAAACAGTATGTGTGTGTAACGAGCATTTTTTTTCGCAATAACTAATTTTGGAACTTACACCCAAAAAAACAAGATTGAAAATGATTGCAGTTGCTACTTTTCAAGACTTGAAACCAAACATTGTTTGAGGAACCAGGATGCTGAAGTACACATTGAAAAAAAAAAAACCCACACATTTTAAAAAAGCATAATCCCTTCGAAATTTTCAGTCAATTATTTCTGTACGCCTGTATACCTTTCAGCTTGTGAGTCCGACTGTCTAACTACCCACCATAAGTTAAAGCAATTCCCTTGAAAGTATATTTCCTGTACCATACTGCAGTGCTGTTACTTATCCGTTGTCACCTCGTAACAGAACATACAGCACACAGAAGTTGACATAGCATACAGCACACAGAAGTTGACATAGCATACAGCACACAGAAGTTGACATAGCATACAGCACACAGAAGTTGACATAATACACTGCACACAGAAGTGTTGCCACACTTTACAACAAAAATAATTTCACGCCTATGAGTGCAGGTTGCGTCCATAAAGAAAGGCCTCTTTCTACTGTTTTAATCGCTTAATTAAGATAACCGAGGGCTGTTGTGCAATCAACTCTTTCGCACCCCGAACTTTCCTTGTCTCTGATGCCCTTTGAGTTTTCAAAACAAGAGGGATATTTGTCTGGGGTTAGGAATTATCTTGGCGTGGGGGTTAAGAGGGGAATGAAACATTCTCGCAAGCCATTTACTCCCGAGCAAGAACAAATGGGACCACTGTTGTAACATGAACGTGATGTAAGACGATTGTATGATGAAACAGCAGAAGTGAAAGAAAAAATAATCGAAAAAGTAGACATAACATATCATCATGAATAATCAAGAGAATTTTTTTGGAGGGGGAGGGGGGAGTTTCGGAGGGTGGTTGGCTGTTATAGCGATGTGAAGGATTGGTTACATCTCCAGAACACATCTGACGCCATTATTTTCCCTTGTATCTTCTGCGCATGACTCATAATCGCATCTGCGGATGCACTTCCGTCAATTGACGTTGATACTATTTTTTTATGTTTTTGTTTTTGTCGTTTTGTTTGTTTTTGTCTCTCCGAAGAAATAGCCACCGCTGT